GCCGCTTCGTCAGCCCGCTGCCGGGGCGCGGCTGGGCCCTACGCAGGGAGCGGTGGGGTCCTCGGGAAGGCGGGCGGCTGCCAGCCCGGGACGCCGCTCCTTCCCTGCGGCCTGCCGGCCGGTGTCCCGCCCAGCCCCGCACCCCGGCCCTGCCCGGAGCGGAGGGCGAGGGGAGGCGGCGTGTGTTCGGCCGGCCCCCGGCGCGGCTGGCGGCGTCACCCGGGACACTACCGCGGTGAGCGGGGCACCCGTGTTTTTTTTGGGGCGAGCGGATCTCCAGCCTGCGAAGGTCAGTTGCCGGGCTGGAAGCCCCCCGGGTGCGTCAGGCGGTTTAGCAGCGGCTGGGAGCGTTTGGGAAGCGCCGCTGCCCGTGACGGCTGCCTTCTGCTGCCCGGCGCTCTGGCCAGCTCCACCCGCAGGAAAAAAGCTTTGCTCCTCCGTGCAAGTGGAAGAACCTGAGTTGTTCTTTTTTTCCATTTCTTGGTGTTGGAGGTGGTTCGTGACTAGTTTTGCGTGTTCTCCTCCAGTTTATCCGTTTGTAAAAGTTAGTCCCTGGGACGGTGTGAGGATGACAAGAGTGGATCAGACCAAAGGACCTTTTTCTGTTCTCTGATCATGGCTAGAAGTGGGTGCCCTTGTAAGAGTACAAGCAGAGAACAAGTTTATAGCAGTGTGTCCCCTGGATTGTGCTTCCAGTCTTGGGATTTCTGAATCTATTTAGAATTGCCATTGGCAAGAAAAATCTGTTGCTCTTTAAACCCAGGTAAACTTCTGGTGCCGCAGTGTCCTGCTGCAAACCATTTCACAGCTTAGTTACCTGTTGTGTGAAAAAAGTACCACTTTCTGGTTTTGATGTGTTGTCTGCCCGTTTCCCCTCACCACCCCAGTGCTTGTATTGGAAAAGCGCATGGACTTTCATTTCATAATTGTCCTCTGCAGGGCAAATATCTAGCCAGTGGTTTCTTGTTTTAGTCTGCAATCCTGTAGTCTATTTGTTTCTCATATGGAAGCTGTTTCATACCAGTGACTAAGTAATGTGAAAGTGAGAAATTGATTATGTAATTCTCTTGGGTATTTTCAGCATGATGTTTTGGCTACGATTAGGTTGCCAAACATCCCAGTACTTAGGATATGTATGAACTCATTGCACCTGCTGTGCTTGAGTACCGGCAGCCTGGGAGGACTGGTCCACTATGTGGTCTGGAAGACACATCTGTATTGGAGAGCATTTGGCTTTCCTTCTGTGGGTGGATTAACGAACCAAATAAATAAAGGAGGTGACCTCTTGCAACCTCAATTGATGATCACGAGTAATCAGATATCTGATGTTTTTATCTTTGCCATCCTACAGTAGTTATAGTGCAATGAGAAAGAAACAGCTAGCTTAAGTTTTGGACATCTCTGAAATGCAAAATCCTCCTCGCTAGGCTAATTAAAGAATAAATTAGGCAAATGTATTTAAGGAATGATAGGATAGGTCTACTTGATTCAGTTTTGGATTTAGAGTGCTTTTGCCCACTCATGAGTGCAGCTGGTGAGGAAGTTTCACAGTTAAAGGCCTTCATGAAGCAACCAGGGAGTTTCCCGCATAAACAGCTTTCTTGCATATCTGTTTGTAATTTGGTAGAAATGAAAGCGGGTGAACGTAGGACTTACCAGATGTGGCAATATTCGACTTCTGCAGTTGAGCCTTCAAGGGAAACTTCTTATTTAAAAAATAAACCTGTTTTAACAGAGGCAGAAACTGGATCTCTCATAAAGCTCTGTAAGAAACATGTTTCTCGGTAAAGAGATTATTTTCTCGTGTGTCCCACGTCACTTATCAAAGAGGCTTTTGACAGCTTTGGCAATTTTGAGAAGTGCTTAAGTCAATTTAGCAGCCAGAAACCAGGAGCTAGAGCACAGGAGTCAGCTGACTGGAGGTCATGGTTTTGTATCAGCGATTTGAGGGAGAAAATAAAGCTCTGAAGGAGAAAAACGTTATTCTGAATTCCGATAGGGATACTTCCTGTTTATTCTGTAACTGCTTTTATAGTCGCTCTGCATTTTTTTATGAGCTTGGTCCAAAGAGTAAGTTGCTGTAAGAGTTGTGCCAGTGCCTCCTTTGAGGATGGGCTACCTTGGGTGGCTTGCTAAGACGGATGAATTTGGTACCTACGTCTTGGGAGGACGAGAGCCTGGCCTGGCCACAGGCTTGGGGGAGTGGCTGCAGGCGCTGCTTCACAGAGGTCTGCGTTCCTGGTATTGCTGTGCTGGGGGGGAAGTTTGCTGCTGGTACAGTACGTTGGTACAGCTGTTTTAGATGTTGTTTTCTGTTGTTTGGGTTTGGTTTGTTCTGAGGCCAGTCCGTTGGTTCAGCTCCTTCAAATATTCCTTCAGCCTAACGAGAACGACCCTGTCCTTCTCTCTGGCTGCACGTGCCTTGAGCTGGCTCCTGGGGTGGTAGCCCAGAAATGGATGAACGTGAGCTACCTGGCAGAGGTGGCTCTGACTCTCTGCTTGCTCTTGCTATTTTTTTTTTTTTTTGCAGTCACATGTTTTTGAGTGACTTGCGTGCAGTCCTAGTAGGTCTTCAAAGACCATGTGCAGTAGGCTGCGTTGCTCCTAGTATGAATTGGTGGATCAAAAGATTATTATTGTTCCGTCAATTCTGCTCTGCCTATTCTAGAAATATCGATGTGATGCGTTGTGATTGTTTAGCTGTGATTGCCCAACATATGTTTCAAATTTTTCCCTTTGTATTTTTAATGCTTGATTGCTTTTTTTTTGTTTTTTCCTTTTTCTTCTAGAATTCTTCTGAGAGCCACAATTGTGCCAAAAGCATCTTGACCTCAGACAGGCTGCAGATAGTTGTGACCCTTTCGGAGTTCTTTAATGAAACCTGGGAGGCAGCCAACTGTGCAAGTATGTGACTCCTTCTGCTACTGTTATGACTTAGCCCCTAAAATTTGCACAGTTTGGAATTGTATGTATTTATTTAAATACAGTCAGTAGATAACACAAAAATCCTAAACTAGAGCCGCTCCAATGAAGGGTACAAGAGCTTTTTACTCTGAGGGATACTGCCAAAATCTGGGGGCACTATTCTGTTGGAAGACTTAGTTGTTGTAGAAATTTTTTTTTTTGCTATTCTTTCAAAAGGTAGTCTTGCTGGTTTTCTTTGTGATCTACAGACATTCTAGAGACTTTCCTTAGCTTCATTGTGGTTTCTTCTGTTTTTCTCCATCTTCCCATTTTCTTAAAAACTTACATAAGAAACTTTTCCTTGTTTGTTAATAAAGTCAGTAACTCTGGGATGCTTACACGTTGAACCGTATGTGCCTCCACAGCCATGCTTTTGATTTCATTTTGTGGGTGGAGGGTGTCCAAATCTATCCCTGTATCTCACTCTCCCCATGCTGCTGGTGCTGTGCCATGCTTACAGCTAAACTGTGGCTTTTTGCCGTTCTCCTGGTGTGGGAAGTGGGACCCTGTGCTAGAAAACAGTGGGAGTAGCTCTATGGAGTTGAGTGTCAAAGATGCTGGGTTTGCTGCAGAGCCCCTTGAGAGCCTAAAAGTTTGTTTTCATTTGTGAGTCTGGGCTGTGTGAGGGCTGGAAAGGCAGTACAGGAGGAGCTCTGTGGTCTGTGCTGGTCTGTTGTGCTTAGCTTGTGACCTGTGTGCTGCCTGCCCAGTGTCCAGCTGAATGCTCGCCCTCAACACTGATGGTGCTTCTTTATTTCAGGAGATTTTTCTAGGAAATTTGCATGCTCTCATGGTGCTGTTGCTGAGCATCTAAATTCCCAAACCACTGTTGTTTTCAAGGGTTTGTCTGGTTAGGGAACCTGAAGTGGGGTGGGATGGGTGGAAGTAGTAACGTGGTAGGGTTGAGTCTTTGACTGGGAGGAAAGCCCCAGAGCTCCTCTCAAAGCTGGTGAAATGGTCAGCTCTTTTCTTAATAATAACCTACACTCTGATTCTGCTGTTGTGTTTGTGGTCTAGCTGTTTCCTGGATGCTCTCTGTTTCATCTCCACTGCTGGTGCTTCTGCTTTCACATAATGGCTGTTACTGTTGCTGGGCAAAGCCTGATTTGCAGGGTAGAAAATAAAAGTAGTGTCTTGTTTTGTCTCAAAGTCCAAAGATAATTCAGACCCCCTCTTCAGAAAGCTCTTGATGATAGTCTTCGTCTTTCACTTAATCAAGGCCAATTAATTCTGAAATATGTTCTCGATGAAGAGTTAGGTCAGCAGGTCTGAGACATCAATGGCAGGCAGATAAGGAAACCGCAGTGTTGACTAGACCTGTCTTTTATAGTCGAGAGCCTTTTTTGCAGGAATGGAGTGTCTGGGGCTTGTCGGCTGTGGAAATGTTAGAAATTAGAATATCCTGATGTTTTTCTTTCTCTTTGACAGATTGTTTAAAGAACAGCAGTGAGGGATTATCAAATTCTACTGTAGAATTCCTGGATTTATTCAATAAATCTCTGACATGTTTTGAACATAACCTTCAGGTATTTATGCTGTGTATTTAAGAGAAGCACTAAAACCTCTAATTGCTGGCAAAATCTTATTTATGCTGAATAAACTGCAGATACGCATTAGGCAAATAAACTGCTGGTGAGTTTGTGAATTTTAGGCAGATAAAGCAATGATCTGTATAATGCAGATGTTTACAGATTGAGAGCCTAAAATTAATTCTAATTGATATTCACCTTGACTTCATTTTGTATGTAATTGCAATGCTACTTCACATCAGAATTTCTGAATTCACAACAGTTGATAATTATATAGTAAGAAACATCATGTCTGCATGCTGCAAGTCTCTTTTTCTACCTCTTTGGAGAACTGTTGTCTTCTGACTTAACAATTCAATCTTTAAATAGCCTTTTGGTAATATAGACTAGTTCAGAAAGACCGGTACCTTAAATCATTGTAACAATTCTTTTGACTAGTAAAATTACGGGTAGACAAAGTTTGTCATATTTCAAAGGCAATATAATTCACTTAGTGAAATGAATGTGGTAATTGGCCCCAAAGAAAATGCCCTAAATAGCATAAGAAACTGGGCATATTCCATTTCAGTCAGAAACTGGCCAAGTTCTGGGATCATTCAATGGTAAAAACGGGAAATGATGGGTGTGAGACAATCTCTGAGGAAACTGTCTGCTTTTTTTAGTATTGATTTCTAGGAAATGTGTCTTTAGGCCTTGGCTAGGAGCAATGTCTGAACTGGACCTTAGCCCAGTGGTTGGTGGGTAGCTGATACAACCATTACTGGGTTGGAGTATCTTTAGAGATTGTAGTTTTGTTTTCAAGTGTGTCGTATTGCATTCAGGGGTGGTGAAGGCCACTGTCGTGGTTTAACCCCAGCTGGCAACTCAGCCCCACACAGCTGCTTGCTCACTCCCCCCGTGGTGGGATGGGGGAATTGGAAGAGTAAAAGTGATAAAACTGGTGGGTTGAGCTAAAGACAGTTTAATAGGTAAAGCAAAAGCCCTGCACGCAAGCAAAGCAAACCGAGGAATTCATTCAACACTTCCCATCGGCAGGCAGCTGTTCAGCCATCTCCAGGAAAGCAGGGCTCCATCACATGTAACGGTGACTTGGGAAGACAAACACCATCACTCTGAACATCCCCCCTTCCTCCTTTTTCCCCCAGCTTTATATGCTGAGCATGACATCCTATGGTCTGGAATATCCTTTTGGTCAGTTGGGGTCAGCTGTCCTGGCTGTGTCCCGTCGCAATTCCTTGTGCACCTGCTTGCTGGCAGAGCATGGGAAACTGAAAAATCCTTAACTTGGGATAAGCACTACTTAGCAACAACTAAAAACATCAGTGTGTTATCAACATTGTTCTCATACTAAAGCCAAAACACAACACTATACCAGCTACTAGGAAGAAAACTGACTCTGTCTCAGCCAAAACCAGGACAGCCACAAATGAAAAGGATTATGTACCATGACAAAGTCTGTCCCTGTCAGTACAGCTTGGCAGTAACAACAGTTACTTGTTAGGTATGGGCAAGTGAAAAACAAAACACAGTATTAAGGAACCTGATCTCTGGCTCCAGAATACCATTTAATTGCTAGTAAATTTTTTTTTTCCTCCTTCTGGGAACTGGTACTTTAAAAATGAGATGCATAATCTGCAGGAAATGGATCCTGTCCCTAGTGAATTAGAGTTGGTCCCTTTTCCTCCTGCATTCTCATGCGAGTTGTCTGTCTGGGCCTCTACTCAATCTAGGATGCTAGAAATCTGGATTTTGATTAAAGCGTGACTCTAGTTTTTAAGTTTTTTAAGTTTTGGATTTTTTTATAATGCCTTAAAACTCTGTATGAATGCTATTTTATAATCCTAGGGACAAACCATCTATCTGTCACCAAGTAACTACACAGAAGTATGTAAAAACTGCAACGAAACCTACAAAATGTTGAATGACCTGTATAACAACTTGCAAAGGATGAACAGGCAAGGTGGTGAGTCTGGGCACTCGGCGCACTTGTGCATCGATGTGGAAGATGCAGTAAGTATTTATTAATACTCAACAGGAGAGCTTGTTATGGAGGTCTTTATTAATCTGAGCTATTTGTGCTTGTCTCGCTAGGGATTGCCTTTTCCCTTTTGGTGTGGGACATTATGGGCAGCAGTGCTTTTGGCAGGCTGATGTCCTGTGTGGGGAAGTGAGCTTGGTGGGGCTGTCTTGCTAGGTCCTGTCCTCAGTGCAGCAGGAGCATGACTGAAGCTCCTGATCAGCCAAGTGCATTCCAGTTTGAGTAGCTGCACTTTAATTTCTTGTTACTGTGAAGGGGATGGATTTAAAAAAAAACAACAACAACAAAACTCTTAATCTTCTGGCTTTTAATTTGAAGCTTTACTGCTATTGTTCTAGCCAGTGTAATAATTGATTCCGTATTACAGCAGCTGTTTCTAGGGGTCCTCAGCATTGGCGACACATGTTTGGAAAAAGCTTTGTTATATTGTGGGGTTTTAAGTGGTTGGGCAAAGGGAGTGCTGTTGAAAGTATGGGATTAGCCCTGTCCCTGCAGGCTGTCAGTGAGTTCTCTGGGAAACAGGCACATGGCAATGTCTACAGTGTATCTGAGTATATCTGGTTTTGAAGGTTGTAAAAGTTTTGATGTGAAATCTTGGCTCTGTTTAAATTGTTTGCTTCTACATTTCCAGGGATTTGCTTGCTTTTGAGGGGAGATCTGTTAAAGTGTTGGTTTTTCATGTCATATTTGAACACTTGCATGTCTTGAGGCCTGAGTGTTTGCCATGCTGCACAGTGAAAATACATGTGCTTGCTTTCATGGCTTGCTTATGTTTTTCTTTTAGATGAACATCACTCGGAAGCTTTGGAGCAGGACTTTCAACTGTTCTGTTCCCTGCAGTGATACAGTCCCAGTGATTGCAGTTTCATCCTTTATTCTCTTCCTACCTATTGTTTTTTATCTTAGTAGCTTCCTTCACTCGAAGCAGAAGAAACGGATACTCATTTTGCGTAAGTGGTGGTGCTGGCATTTCACTGTTAGAGTTGGGTGGTGCCAGGGACTCTCTTGGCTCTTGTGGGAGAGGGGGCCCAGCCAGATCTGCCTGCAGCTGTGCTGACGGCGCTAATAGCGACTATTAGTCTGCTGCTGTTCCCTGAAGAAGGGTAGTAAAGAGCTTCAGCCATATCTTTTCATTAAAGTTTCTGGACGTGAACAGAAAGCTGTTTGCAAGTCTGTGTGGGATAAATAGAGGGAGTGGAGAGACTATGGATAAATAGAGGGAGTGGAGAGACCAGTTTTGTGGAATTCTTTGTGTTTAATTTTCATATAATTTTTCCCTTTCTAGCCAAGCGCATCCAGTCAAATGCCAGTCTTGTGAACATCCAAGAAAAATACAGCTGAGCTGCAAAACAAAACCTGAGAACTGCTGCTGTTATACAGTGGGTACAATTGTGTTGGAATGAGGCCGGCACAAAAGAGGAGTTAATTATGGTATAGTGTAATGATACAGAGCACCACAAGTTAAACAAAATGCTGTCTGACTTCTAAGCGAGGATATTAACAAACATGACAAGGCAGGGCTGTGTGACACTGTATGGACTCTGGTTTTGAAAAATCTGTGGTTTTTTTCAGTCTCGGGCTGTAGCTAGTATTTTTCTGTTTCTAAGCTTTTGTACTTCTCATCAATAGAATAGCTACACTTTCCTTGCATGGTGTTTTTCCATATTTATCATATTTGTTTCACAGAAATCTGAGTTTCTGAATCTTTTTGAGGTGATTTTCATAGACAGACAAAACTTGAAATAATAATTGATGTTCCTGCTTGAAACATTATGTTTAATTGTACATAATATTCAGTCTTGCCAGACTTGGGATGGACAGGAAACCTTTAAAAAAGAAAAAGTTCCTATCTTTCCTGTACTGCTCTGAAATCCTGCTGCTGATACATGTTTAAAAAAAACCAAAAGGCATTAAATATGCAGGTAATGTGGTAATATATAATGTCCAAAGCCAGCAACAAAAGCAACAGAACTGCCACTGCTAGACTTGAATAATAATCATTGATGACTACAGTATTCAGTTATCTCTGAAACAGGCGGCATATTTAGTCATTTGCACACTTTATCCACTAAAATAATTGCTTTTCAAATATTGCATTTTCAGAGGCTTGTTTCAGATATCTGCTTGGGTAACTGAATGCTTCACTGTTTGTCTGTCGGTTGTGTTTTTTCCTTTTTAATTATAAAGGGGTTTTTTTATGTTTGGTGTTTTTTTGTTGTTGTTGTTGTTTTTGTAGAGAAGTCAGGCAAAGTCAAGTCACTGGAGGTACTGAATTTCCTGGTCCAGAGCTTGCTATGGTTTAATACAGAGATGTTTACAGGAACTTTGTAGGGGAAAAGTTACCTTTTCTAGATAATAATGTATTTTAGCAGTAAATGAACCAGAGGGTTCTCTAACTTAAAAACTGTCCTGAAGGACAATGAAGATACTGTGTTGGGAATTGATGACTTTCAAGAAATAGTTTGAAAAAAATAGGCCTGTGAAATAGATGAATGTAAACAAATTTCAGCTTGCAGGATTCCAAAGCTGGTGGAGAAATTCATACAATAACTGCGGGGATGGATAGTGCTACTAACAGGCTGTGGGCACAATTCAATGGCTGCAGCGATACCGACAGTTCAGTTTGGTTATGATAGTCCTGATTTGGGAGAGTGGTGGGGTTGAAACAATTTATAGCTGTACTTGAGGTTAATGAATGCCAAAGTCTTTGCTCCCATTTTTAAATGTGTTTTCTAACCTTGAGATAAAAATAAATGGCCATTACAGCTAAAAAATTAAATTTCTCTTGCAATCTGTGTGTCTGATGTCTGTCAAAAAACCCCCATGAAATAGTCTTATGTATTTGACTTGCTTTGGAGCCTAGAATGTTAATTTTTTCCTTTGCACTAAGGCTCAAATAAACATATAACAATGTAACAAGTCCTAAAGCTTTTCAAGTAGTTGGTTTTCTTGTTTTTCTTTTTTTGTGTGTGTTTTTTTTGAGTTAGGACATACTGTTGGTTTTAAAGGCAAGTTGACAGTATGTTTAAGTAAAAAACTGTGTTAGTGATTGGTCCCACCCACGATTGCCTTTTTGTGTTTTAACAGTAAGAAGTATTTATCTCCCTCTGTTAAACATGTGAATTATTAGGTCAGCAGTCAGTTTGTTCTAGGTAGTTTACAACAATAACATAAAACTGTGTCTCTCTTGCTTATTATGTAAAGTCACCTTCTTCTGGCTGGGAGAGGCATGCTGCCTTTAAAAAAAAAAAGATTATTTTTTTATATCTATTATTCTTAAACTTCAACTTTCTGGGACTTATTCAGCTGCCTGCTCTAATAGCATTACATTGATTTGGGACATCATATGATTGAGAGCTGTTCAAAGCGATCTTTCATTCGTGCAGATAAAGCTAGTTTGTATGTGCAGCATTTCAGAATGACAGCTTTTATACTGTAAGCAGTGGCTTTTTGAGCACATTCATGTTAAGTAGGTCTGAAAGTCATTACTTTTGGATATGGTGGTTAAGCACTTTAAAAAAAAAAAAAAATCAGCTTTTCTTATTTTCCTGGCTGCTAAGCCAAACGGAAATACTCATGTGACTTTTTGTTGTTTTTTATTTTAAAGCAGCAGTGAAGCTTACACTTGAGATTTTTAATATTACATTTACTATTTTCTCCTTTTTCTCCCCCCCCCCCCCCAACTTTGTACTACTAACCACAGTGCTATATTTTTGGTAGGATATTTCATATATAAATTGAATTCTCTTTATACTATTTCCTAGAGAAATGTGGAAGCACACAGACTGTGTTGAAGGAGAACTAGAATTCTTTTTGCTGCTAGTTGTTCATCTTGGTTTATTTTTTGCCTTTTTGGTATTATGTGTACTAAATAGGACGAACTTTGAAATACTAGCTGTTTGTATCTTTTTTTGTGCAAATAAAGATTTCTTACTGTGGGGTAGCACTTTGATTCATATTTATACTTACTAGGAAATGTCTAAACACAAAGTCAGCTCTAATAAATATTGTCAATAAACAATGAACGGTGTGGTTACTTAGTTGCTTCATTTATAGTAGTTTTATACTCCTGCTCCTCTGGGTTTGTGTTCAGAAGCACCTGCTTATTATTCCTCATTGTGCCATTTGCAGGAAAACAGCATCAGAAAGATGTTTTCAAAGCAGCGCTGCGCTGAATTACAGAACAAATGAACTGCAACTGCTGAGGAAGGGTGGTGTTTCAGCTCAGCCAGAGCCTACTGAAGTATATGGAAAGGTTCCTGTTAGTTGCCACGGAGTTTCTTGGATGCGTGTGCATGAGTAAGGCTAGTGGGGATGACTTGCTGTCTTTGTGGGGAGGCTTTTGGTCTTCTGCACTGGCCACTCTTTCAGCTTCAGCAGGCACGGTGTTGGATTGCTGTTGAGCTGGAAGATTTCTTTAAAATGGCAGTGCAGTGCTTCACCATGGAGAGAGCGGGGTGTCTCACCTGATGGTAGTAGCCTTGTGCACTAGTGGTAGGATGTGGGTATCTCGAAGGCAAATTTAAATCTCAGTGCATCCCTTGCAAGGAACTTCCAGGAAGGCTGGGAAATTTGTAATGCCAGTGTGTGGGCTGTGGCTTCAGCTGGGAAACCAGGGAATGGTTCTGGTTGCTTGTATACTTGGGAGAGGGACTTGAAAGGGAGTAAGCACAGGAGAAGGACAAGTGGGAAGAGTGGGGAATTTACCCAGTGAGTAGAACAGAGGCTCAGAGAGTAATTGAGGGTGGAAATGGGGGTCTGTAAGCACACTCAGAACAGTGTTTTAGGGGGAGAGGCTGCTAAAGTTCACAGGTGGTTGAAAGTCTCTGAGAAAAAAGGGTGCAAATGGGGCCTTGATTGCAGCTGAGCTGGAGAGGGGAGGCTCTGGCTCCTTGGTGGAAGTGAGGTTGGGGACTGGTAGCAGGGAGATGGAGCAGTTGAGCCCAGGTCTCCCACTGGTCTGTGATGGGACATGCCAGTGGGCTGCCTGCACAGGTTGGGAATGGGAGCCAGTAGTGGGATGGCAACAGGGCCTTGCTTCTGAGTTACTTCAGAGCAGCTGCTGCCTTCTGGGAGGGCACCTGATTTGTGTGATGCTGTGGATGGTGAAGTAAACCTGGTTCAAAGGCTTTCTGCAAAGCTCCTGTTCTACTTCAAGCTGAGTGAGGACTCCTTTTTAGCACTAAAGAGGAGACTTTAACACAAACAAAAAATAGTTTTATTTTGTGTAATGGCTGCTTTTTTCCATCTTTATTAAATGCCTGCTACAATCACAAAATGGCTTCAGTTTCCTAATGTTTTGTTTCTGGTGCTTACTGTCCAGTTAATCAAGTACCATCAAATGTTCTTGCATTTCTGCTAATTTATACATTAGTTTGCATGCCCTGTAATATAGAGTTTCTCTGGAATGATAAGCTGTGTGATTAGCAAAGTGACTGCACTCCTAATCAGAATGTATGGGTAACTTACTAATTTTTGTTCATATTTTATTGTGAATTTTCCTTCTGGGACTGGTGCAAGCATTTTTAGCCTGATCTTTGTTAAGTTTGTGCAGGATGCACCTTCTGTATTTTTGCCAGTGTAAAAAGTTACACATTGGAAGAGCAGAGCTAATAAATTCTGCAATTTCTCTGAAGTGTTCCTTCTCCCAGCGCTGTGATCAGTGTCTGTTGCTGCTTGCTGGAGTCAGCTAGGATGATTTATGTGCAACTAGTAGCCTTGAGTTGTGCTGAGAATTGAAATGCGGTTGCTATCTTGGAGACACTAATCTAAGGCAAAAATAACATGTGAAGGAAGAAAACAGGAGGTGATGTGATTGATGACCAGAGTCAGCTGTGTGATAACCTTTTCCAAGTGCAGGTGTTTAATACAGAGATACCAGCATCTCTGCTGGCCATCAGAAGGGTTTCTGGCATGGTCTGTACGTGGGACTGAGTGTCGGCTCAGGGAGCTGTCAGACCAGTGTCTTTGGCTATGGCACACAGCTTCAACACTCTGCATCTGCTCTGCTTGAAAGATGGATGGTGCTGATCCAAACTGGTTTTTCCCAGCATCTGCTTCAGGGCTAGAGGAGGTGCCTGGGGCACTTCTGATTTGTGCTGGCTGATGTGAGCGTGTGGGAGTACCTGTGAGCACATGCACTTCTCTGGAGGTGCGGTGGGCTAAGATGGACCTTCCTACCTGGCACTGATTAGAGGTGAAGGAAGTGGGAGATTGTTGTTTTGCAGGGAGATTTTGTTACTTTCAGCTTTATACAGAGAAGAAAAAGCTGCATTTTTCCTCCAGGTAAAACAGCTTCCCCACCCCTGTTTCCTGCTAAATCTTTGCTTTGATGTGTTGGTGTATGGTGTGCGGGACGGGAGCTTGGTTACCACAAATGT